GGGAGCCAGCGTTGAAATCGTTCGAGCCCTCCAGTGAGAGAGTGAGAGAGAGAGAGAGAGAGAGAGGGAGAGAGGGAGAGAGACAAACAGACAGATAGACAGACAGACAGACAGACAGATAGACAGACAGAGGAGAGAGACTTCATTTCCGCGTGTGATCGTCGATTGATCATGAGACGAGCATACGAATAACACGCAAGACGGATCGTTGAACAGTTTTCTCGTTTCGACGAGACGTGAGAATCGATGACGCCACCCGCCAAAATGCCGAACGTGGCGTTGATCCTTGCTACCTGGTTACTGCTGATCGTTCCTCGAGATGTTTCGAGCACGGGACAACGATACACCACCAGCCCGACCCAAGATCTGGATAACACTTTGCAATCGGTGCCGCCTGTCGGGTGAGTATCCAGTTATAGAGCATCCCTAAAACCATGAAACGCGAACCGGCCAATCTGCGGGCATCGCGATCCGAGATATCGCGCTCGCGAACGATCGATCACAATCGCGGGGCACAGTAATTTTCGTGAAGTGTCTGAGATGTGATCACTAAGGATATGCCGCGTGTATCTTGAAATTTTGGGGTAGATAATCGAGAAATATTTTTATGGTTTGTTGGCTCCTTTTTTTATTTATTGGTTTGTTCTAGAGCGGAGGGAAGAGAATTCTTGTTGAAACTGTTAATTCTTCCCGGTTCACGTTTATGAGCGTTTTATTCAGACTCACGCAATTTTTTGCGCAAATGTGACCATGCGATAGACAATATTTACGTAGATTCATTTTATCTTCTGGATGAATCCAATAAAATTGTAGATGAAAATGTAATTGGGAATTGCAGTCAAAAGTATCGTAATTATCGAAGTAATAAGGAGGGTTCATGACCGAATTCTCAGGCGGCAAGTGATAGACGTTTGACACGTCCCCGAGTTCCAAAGATGACAATGCCAGTGATAAGACTCTTCTTCAGCTCGTTTCTATTTTTACTTGCCGTGGACCAGGAACATAATGAAATAGCTTCGGCAAGGAACTGTACGTTCTAGTTTCTTTTTTCATTCGAATTACGTAATATCGCGCGTCTTCGGGCCAGCATAATGTTTATCACGTTTCCCCTGTTTCTTTTTATTCGCATCGAGGACACGATATAGGAACATTTTAAACATTCCTCTGTGAAAAAAATGCAGTTCCTCCACATTCGTCTTAAGCATCATATAATAAATTTTTCGCCAATAAATATATTTCGTAAATTTGCATAATAGCAATATCGCGAAAATGATTCGTAATGATTTTGTTAAATTAGAAACTTCACCCCGAGATCAAGGAAAGTGCAAAGATCACTCAGTTGGTGCCAAAGAGACCGATTGAAAGAAACCTAGCAAACGATAAAAGACCATTGCGGCTCGTTATCAATCATAAACGCTCGATCTTGATGCAATCTCAAAATATAATGTGGCAAACATGCAATTGTGCAACTAAACACTTGTGACACCGCTATTGTCCTTGGAATTAATTGCTTCAAGCAGAACAGTTGAACAAAAATTTGACTCTAGCAACGATGAAGATTCGTAATCTAAAATTTATGGTAAAAATCGAAAGGAAATATTACATCAACTGAAACTTAACTGTAATAGAAACCTATTTACGATAAAAATGATAAAAAAAAAACAAAATACTTGACAAAGCAATTAAATAAAAGATACGAAATTGAAATTAATATAAACCAATTTACACCTCAAATCCGATTATACGTCGAGAAAATTTGTCACTTCTGATTTCGTGCTTTCAATTTTCGAATAGAAAGTTAAAGCGAATCAGCCAGTCTATTAGAACGACGACAAATGCTGTATCAAACATAAACGATCAGGGCATAAAATTTACTTTTAGCTGTAAGTTCCAGGGTTAACTCGAAGTCACTTTCATTTCTAAACGACTTCACGCGACGCACGATTATAAAATACGGAATAACGATCGCGACGTAGCGGATCGACCAGGTTTCCTGGATTAACCGGTGAAAAGCCTGACTAATTACACACGACGAATTAAGCTTGTCTACTCGAAGGTCGTGTTCAGCGAGAAGCTGAAGTTAAATCGCCGCGTGACGAAACTCGGTGCAAGACGTATTCTCAGGCGGATCCGTGAAAAGCGTTTCCGGCTTGAAACACTCTATGGTCAATTAGGCCTAATGGATGGATAATAATGGTCCATCATCCGTTTGGATTCGCTTGGAATTGACGCGGAACGCGGGAAATCGCGCGAACGCATGAAACCTTGCCTTCTGATAGTGCGAGCAAGAGGCGAGGGAAAAAACGGAGAGGAAAAATGGGGATTAAACTGCGAATGCGTAATGTAATGCGTAGATAACCCAATTAGAAGAGTTATCGCAGGCGGTTCGTCGCGACGCGTCGCTATGCCCAGAACGAGATTCTGGATCTGACAAAATCTGCGATTTCGCAAAATCGCTTGATATACATTGGCTCATGAAAGTGCTCGAACGCTTACCTCAGAAAACTTTTATGTCCACATTGTACGTGTTATGTAAAATATTTTGAAACCATTAGTGACGAAGTAAACTGAATGTTTTTGATGAAAGAGGCAATTTGCTTGTGAAAGATGCCCGGTTGATATATTTCGATACGATACCAACGTGTATAATTTTTATTAGAAATATCTTTATAGACATGACGCGAAGAAATGGAATCTAAGTAAAGGTTTGTTACGTCTAAATAATATAGCAAGTACTTTTCACATTTGTAGGCATTTTCTACATCATATACTCGTACATTTTAAGTTGCATTTAAGTTTCCTCTCATCTGATGATCATATTTTTACGTAAATAAAATTCAAGATTGACTTTGACAAAATCACATACGTATTTTCATCAAGCAAGAAAACAGAGAAACATCTCCAATCGTTTTGACAGATTCGATACTTCTAGTGTTAACCAATCTTATTTTGCTTCCACAAAGAAGCAAGAAGAACAGCCGTCAACCGCGATTCTTGCACGTTCTTGAAAAATGGAACGTCTTCCTGATTCCTCGATACACGATTCTATCTAGAAGAAACGAGAGGCACGAAAAAACGAAGGTATTGATCGGTGATCGGAATGCTGGCGCAAATAGATAGAGAAAAAGAGAGAGAAAGAGAAAGAGAGTCTGTGACGGTTTATTATACAAAAGCTTCCAACTGACGGTATTAGCCAGGCCCCTGCGGAAAAGTATTGGACATTAGCGAGGGTATCGTATAGCTGGCAGCAGAGGAACTAGTTTGTTACGGTAAAAGATTCTTGGCAGCTCATTGCACGCGATAGTGGCACCGCACAGGATCTTTGCCGCGGCGCCGCAGCCGGTGGATCTCGAATGCGAGAAATAAGTAAAATCGGAATAACCAGCGAGTCTCGTGATTTCACTTAATACGGGACATTAGCCGAGGCGATAACGTCAATTCAATCGGTGGTTTTACGGACAAGGTTGTTGCCATTCACAGCCGCGAAAAAGTTCCTCTAATTGTCACCGTTTGAATTTCCCGACCATTTAATTCCTTACGGAAATAAGTATCAACGTTATTTAAGATAATCGAAGAACTTTCTGAAAAACGACTTACAGATCTGTGATAAATATTGGATTGCAAATTCGTTCTGTTCTTATATCGATTACATAAACAGAGAAATTTAGACAAATATATGGTACATGTATCTTAAAAATGTTACGATTCAAAATTATTCAGAACGATAAATGGATGAAATTTTATAGGAAGGAAACGAAACGGTTTAAATATTCGAAATACGTATTTAATCTCATAATCGATCGAAAGAAGGTTTACAGTATCATGGAATTAATTATTGAATTTTAAAATTGCTTATCATGTTCTTTGTCTGTGATTTTCACGTGATTACTACCCACAGATAAGGCAAGGCAAGAAACACAGACCTAATGATCGGTCATAAAACATCCTCCACGTCGAATTATTCGACTGAATTTGTCGGGCAAATTCGCGTCTATCAGCGTTGATCGCACGATGATCGACCCTGAGAGGGAAGGCCACCGAAAATCGAGCGAATCGGTCAGCTTAAGCGGCAGAGCGTCACGCTCGAGCAACTTTTTCATTAATAAACACGTATTAGCCGGTATCTTGTCACGGCCAATTAGAAGCATGTTTCACGTGACTCCACCTAACCATTGACGTTCAACTGCGCGATTAATACCGTCACATCAATTATCATTCCTCGTATGAAACATTTCTCGAGCACTCAATTAAGGCGTAAGAAGAAACAGGAATCGCCGATAGGATAACATTCAATATACTTTCGATTTTGATTCTCGTTTTACCTGTTTATCGATCGATTCTTCGTCGAAACGTACGAATTCCTAATAATCTATCCTCTTTTAGAAAACAGTAGAATGAATTGTTTTTCGATACGATGTGATACGTGGCACATGTTTAGTTATATATTTTATATTGTCATATTAATCACAACACATATGAGAATTGTAAATTCCTGTGTAAATATGAGTAGCAGCACTACTACACTAGAACCTCGATTATCAGTGCACCAATTAATGGAACAATCAATTATTAGAACATGAATTAATGGGAATAGATAATAATAATAAATTATAAATAAGTATATAGCACAAAATAAATGACGCATTTGCATATGAAAACGAAGTTACGAGATTATAAGAACAATGCCATTGTCGGAACAATGTATGTCACGACTAGATTATCAAAGTTCTATTGTATTTGAAAATAACAACTATGATTCTAGCTTCGTAGAAAAATCACGATGAGAATACAGAAGAGGCTGCCTAGTTGGAAGCATCCGTAATCAGTCAAGCTAGATAGATAACTCGTGCCCTACAATCGATGAACTTTGTTATTTATCGGTTGTTCTTCAAACGCGATGATAACAATGTTCTAGAGCGAATTAATAAAGCAGGCCGAGTTACACGTAACGTTTCGACAAACTGTTTAACCTCTTTGGTATGGTACTCATCCGCTGTGTAGTGTCACTTAACGGCCGCGAACAAGAACGATTGCGTATATCTATTATTAACTTTAGTCGATGATCGGTCGTGGCCATGCATTTGGTGATTGTCGACTATACACGACACTCGTACCCAGTAGGTTAAAGGTTGACCCGAATGCCGCCTCTTTTAATCTGCGTTCAATGGATTCGAAGACGATGCTCGACAGTTAATGGGTTGCTTGTGAGTGTATGACATTCGTAATTGGAATTGGACATCGCGAATTCGGGTACGAATAATGAACCACGTTGAATTTGGACACGTTTATGTTTTGTGAAACACAGATTATGTTTTGTTTCTTATACTTTTGTACGATAGAATGGCTGATGAAAATATTTGAACTTTGAACACTTACCATAAAGCACTGTAATGTGTTTGTT